GGCCGGGGCTCGATCCCTGGACAACTCTGCTGGCTCCGACAAGTGAGGATCAAGGGGGAGCTTGCCCCCCCGCCCCCATGGGGGTAGTGGGATTCAGTCGCATGTGAGTGCCCTGGCTGACACTCCCGTCCCTGCTCTGACCTGAGGGTGCGGGTGGCACCACTGAGCCCTGTCAGCCCTGCTTGCCTTTTTAATGGATCAAACCAATGGCACACAAAGCTCTCGCCAGCCTCTAGCCCTCTCCAGCTGCACCACTGACTTGCTTCAAACTTGGCTTGTTTTGTAGATCTTCTTCAGACCCAAGAACCCTGGCAGGTCTGCTTGGGCTGGGCCTTACTGGGCCTTACTGGGCCTAAGGGTGCGGGGGAGATTCTGGTTGGCACGAAAGATTAATGAACAATTTCTTCTGCTGTAAAAGAGTCCATGTTTTAAGGCACAAGCACAGGAAGCAGAGCTGGGGCTGAGCTTTCCCCTTGCCTGCAGATCCTGAGTACTTGGTGTCTCAGGGCGGTGGGTTTTGTACACAGATCCTGTGGATTGCACAGCGCTTTGGGAGCTGACTGTTCTTACTGGAGTTCTACTATCTGGGGTCCACCCAGGCCAGCGGGAGCAAAGTGAGCAATGAATCTCCTCTGGGTCTGGGCCACTGGGGTCAGAGGCATAGCCAGTGACTTGGGCACTGAGCCCAGGGACTGCTGGGCAGGGCTCTCATGCCCTTCCCCCTCTCCCCCGCCCCCCGGCCATCCCTGTGCTAATCACACTGGCAGGAAAACATTCTCAGCAGGAAATCCGCTTCCCGTTCTGTCCAGCCACTTCCCTGCAAAGAGAGCTCTGTGCTTAGCTAGCCCAGCACCCTGTGCATGGTCCTGTCCACTTCCTGGGGCGAAGCCAGTCCCAGGAGTCTCTCCCTGCAGAGGGCAGGGCACCAGCGCTGTTACGGAGAATATCTAGCATGCCAGGGGTCCCAGGGACATGCGCCCACCTCGGGGCGGCACACAGCAGCTTCGAACAGCCATGCACACAACATGAGCTACACTGAGTTCTTCTTCATGTATGGGAAATGTATTCAGAGTGTCACAGCTAAATACAAGATAGAACGCATTGTTTAGCATAAGTAGTTAGTACATATTTCAAGGGACCATTCAAGGTGAAGTGGCCTGTAAACACCCCTGCAGACACAGGGAAGAAAGGAACAGAGAGGAGAAAAATAAGAAATTAAAAAGACAGTTGTTAGTGGGGCGGATATCTGATTGTTGTAATAAGCCATGAATCCAATGTGTCTGTTGAGTCTATGATTTTTAGTGTCTAGTCATGAATTTAAGCTCCCGGGCTCGTCTTTTGAAGGTGTTGTACAAGTGTGAGAGTGATACAGTGATTGTTTTGTGAAAAGTGTTGGCCCATGGGTGAGAGGGTGTTTTTGTCTGTGTGAGTTCATTCGAGAGCGCAGTGATTGTCTGGCTTCACTCACCTAGTTGTTTTTGTTTGGGGCATTCCGTGCACTGGCTGAGGTACACCACACGTTGTGACAGGCATGGATGGGTAGGACCTATGGATCTTGAAAGGTGTATTGTGGGAAATGATAATCGCAGCAGTGGAGCTACATTTTCAGGTTTTGCATCTGTTGTTCTGACAGGGTTTGGTGCGGCTTTGAGTTGGTGGGTCCTGGACTGTGGGGAGCTTGCTACTGATGAGGAGCTTGGCGAGGTTGGGGGGTTGTTTGAAGGCCAGAAGAGGGGGTTCAGGAAAGATTTATTTCAGGATGGGGTCCCCATCGAGTATGGGTTGTAATTGTTTAATGATACCCCCTCTAGGTTCCAGTGAAGAGTGGTAGGTGACCACTAGGGGTGTGTGGTCAGAAGGGGTTTTATTTCCGTATTGAAGGTTCTCTCTGGAAATGTGGGTGGCCCATTCCTTGATGCGATCTTCTCAAGATGGCGTCTCCTTGTTTGGTGAAGGCGATTTTAAGTGTGTTAAGGTGTATATCCGTGACTTTCTCCTCCAAGCATATTCTGTGGTATCTGAGTGCCTGGCTGTAGCTACAAGATTTCTTGATGTGTTTGGGGTGGTTACCAGATCTGTGGGATAAGTGTGGTGATCTATGGGATTCTTGTATATATCTGTAGGGTTGCATAGGTGAAGCTGACTGTGGTGTCCAGGAAGTTGAGGCTAGTGTGGGAGTCTTCCAGAGAGAGTTTAATGGAAGCATGGTGGTTGCTGAAGTTGTGGTAGAAATCTATGAGGGAGTTTAGATGTTCTGTCCAGAACATGAAAATATCATTGATGTTTTTCAGGTTTCGTGGTGCATTTGTCCAGGAGATACATTCTTCCTCAAGGTGGCCCATGAAGACCATGGCCTACTGGGGAGCCATCCTAGTACCGTTGGCTGTTCCCATGGTTCGGACAAAGTGTTTGTTGTTGAATGTAAAATGGTTATGGGTGAGGATGAAATGGATGAGTCTGGTGCTGTTTTGGGGGTGGTATCTGAGGGGTGTCTATTATCTTGTAGATAGTTGAGGCAGGCAGTGATGCTGTCATTGTGAGGGTTGTTGGTGTATAGGGAGGTGACATGCATGGTAGCGAGGATGGTGTTCTGAGGAAGGTTATTAATGTTGCAGAGTTTCTGGAAGAAGCCAGTTGTGTCCTGGACAGGGTGGATTTAATTTAAATCAAAATGATTTAAATCATGATTTAAATCACTAGTCAGGAAGACTTGATTTAATCATGGTTTTCTACATAAAAGTGCATTCTTGTTGGTTGTTATAGCCTTAATACATATTCTTCACAACTCAGAGATAGATGTAGGTTTCATTTTTAGAAGGTACACACTGTACATTTTCAAACAGTGATTTATTTTGAAAACTTTTCAGATTAGTTTTACAGCAAAATCAGAAAATGAATGATTGTTTAGCTATTTCATTTCCAAAGGGAATTGAAGCAGATATTTATGAAGTTATTGGGAGGTGAACTGTCTCCAATTCAACAGGTTAATCATTAATATTTGGAGGATTTTCTTGCCATGCTGTATTAGGAGGAGAACATCACCAGACAGACATTTAAATTGTTTTATTTAACTAAAACAACAACGTTAAGTATTCTGGATTTTTTTCTTCAACAGCAAACATATAATATTTTAACAAAACAAGCATATGTCCCTCGCGTCTCACATTTCTCTCCAGATTTCTTTTCCTTGTCCAGATCTATTCCGCCCCCAACAATCTTCTATTCATTGAACTTTTTGAAACTTTGCACTTTTAGAGAGAGGTAAGGGATTGACTTTGTGTACACAAATTTGCAGAGGCACAATAGAGTTGAGGTCTGTTATTTCTCACCTCTATATAATATTTATTTATTTAAAAACATTTTTGCTGTTAACAAGCATGTTACCTCTGGGGAGACAAATCCACAGTTTGAGAACTGCAAAACTAAGCATCTCTGATGGTATCTTCTAGACTGAGCACTGAGTCCCATTGGGTAGAGAGAAAGATTAACCTAAATAATCTATACAGAAGCCTGTGGAACCCCATAAAATGGGGTCCGTAATCCATGAACTATTGGAACTCATTTACAAAACTTTTCTTAAACGTTACATGAATATATTGTCTCATACTATAGAATTATAATTTATAATCCCTATTCCATGATGAGATATCTTTGAGCTATAGTGTATCTTAATTAAAACTATCTTTAGATAGGTTTTTTTCCTCAAAAAGCATTTTATCAAAAAAATCCAATTTAAGTAAAAAAAAAATCCAATTTTTTTTATTTTTTTTTTAATAATTGATTTTTGTCCACCTTGGTCCTGGAGGAAGCCAGCCCTTTGTGTGGTGAGTGGTCCGAGGATGGTTCTATGAGTCCCCATATTCCTTCAGCAAGGATTCCATGGCCAGATATGATGGGTCTGCCTGGGGTCCCTTGTCTGTAGAAGGTCTCTGGGATGGGTTTGTGGGGATGAGGTTGTCGAGTTTCTCTTGGAGTTGTTTGGGGAAAGATTCGATGATATCCCTTAAATTCCTGGGTGGACTGTGGTGTGGGGTCTCTGAGTTCTTTATGGCAGGTGGTATTGGAGAGTTGTTGCTTGGCCTTGTTGCTGTAGTCATCGCGGTTGAGGACTGTGATGGCGCCCCTTTGTTTGCTGGTTTGTTCACTGTGTGGTGGTTGAATTTCAGGGACTGTGTAGCTGGAGAGATTGTGCCCGCAGTTTGGTCTGCTGCTATTTAGTGCCATCTAGTGACGCCAGGGTGAAAAGCAGGCAGGAAAACCCAAAGCAAGCTCCAATACCATTGTGGTGTAGGGTCAAACTGGGGTGTCGGGGCGGTGGGGGAGGAGCTGTTTGTTTGCTAGCGAGAGTCCGTACGTGCGCTGTTTATTACAGCCCGTGCCTGGCTGGTATGATTGCCTCAAATCCTGTGCAGTTCTTTTCTGTTGACATGAGGCCTGACCCCTGCACTCTAGGAGGGGGCTGGAGAATAACAGCTGGCACTGTCCATCCCTAGAGCCCAAAGTGCCTTGCAAAGCCAGGACAGCCCAGAATCCCCATGCTACAGAGGGGAAACTGAGGCACCCAGTGAGCAGTGGCAGAGCTGGGAACAGAACCCAGCTTTCCTGGCTCATGGTCTGGTGCCTGGTGTCAGGCCATGCTGCTGCTTCAGGCGTTGGGTTAGAGGCTGGTTGGTGGGCAGGGAGGGAGGGGATGTGGGCTGGAGCCAAGGTCCGTGACTCAGGGCACCAGGGTTTTGTTCCCAGCTGAATCATCCATTTATCATATGACCTTGGGCAGGTCCCAACCCCTATCTGCCTCAGTTTCCCCCTCCTAGCATGGGGATAACAACACTGACACCACCACCACAGCCAGGCTTAACTTGCCCTTGATGAAGGGCTGTGTCCCAGGTGAGCACATCGGGGCCTTGGGCTCCGGGCTTGCAGCTCACCCTTGGCTGGGGAAGGATGAGAGGGTCTGGGGAGCTGCAGCCCGTGTCTCACCCCTCCTCTCCTCTCTGCAGCCACCTCTAACTTGGACCTGGAGAGCAAGAAAACGCCCCACTCCAAATTGCCATGGCAACAGCCCGTGAATGTGTTCCTGGCTGCGGGCAGGTCGCCCTGCGTGGAGGAGCTGCACCAGGAGGCCCAGTTCAATCTCCAGAGCTTGCTGCAAGGTACCCCGCGCCGAGGGGAGGGCTGGGGCTGCCGGGCTGGCTCTCGGCCAAGACACACCCATGGCATGCAGGTACAGGCTGTTTCCGCAGCTCCTGCCATGCAGGGGGCAGCAGAGAGCAGACTGTCCCATTGCTGACAGGAGGGGAGGGGAGAGCAGGGAGCAGAGTGATCCTTGGGGTGGGGGAAACAGGGAGCAGACTGACCCATCGGACACAGGAGGGAAGGGGGAAGCAGGGAGCAGAGTGACCCATGGGGAGGGGGGCAGGAAGCAGATTGACCCATTGCACACAGGGGGGAAGAGGGGAGCAGGGAACAGACTGACCCATTGCTGACAGGAGAAGGTGGAGTGCTCCCTTCCCCCTGTCCTCTTGTGAGATTGGCATCAGCTGCTCCCTCCTCTCATCCCCCCCAAACCCTCCAGACCCTCCTGCAGGGTGTGGGGCCATGTGGGTCTGTTAGAAACACGTGGGTCCCAGCGAGAGCCACTTCCTCCAGCCAGGGTAGTTGTCTGGTTCCTCTGCCTGTTAAAGCACGTGGCTTACTAGCTGAGGAGGAAGAATACCCGCTTGGGGCTGGTGCCCAGAGGCCAGAAGCCGTGTCCAGGCCCTGGCACTCCCCCTGTGCAGCTGCACGAGGCCAGCACAAGGCTGCTGTGCCCACCAATTCTCAGGAGCTGCCGCCGCCCCCAGAGAGACCTAGGAGCACCTGAAGCAGTGGCTCCCATGTGCATTGCTGCAGGCACCTGTCCAGCGCCCTGGGGCCGGGCAGCCGGGCAGCACTAGGCCAGGCCCTGCCTCACACAGCTCCAGTGGTGACACAAATACAGGCCTGGGGACGGGAGGATGAGGTGTCCAGCACAGGCAGCAAGCAGAGGTTTGCCCGCAGCAGGGCTGCCAGCTAACCAGGCTGGGCAGCGCTTTGTGGAGCACTTGGGAGCAGCTGGGAGCTCCTCTGGGCTCTTCTCCCCATGTGCGAGGGGGGGGGCAGAGAGCAGGGCCCCATTGCTGTGCAAGGGGCCCAGAGAGTGCATTATTGGCACATGCCCAGTGCATGTCCCACTAGCCTTTGGCTCAGCACTGGGGTGGAGAGGGCAGAGCGCATCCCAAACCGCCAACTGTGGAAATGCCCTGGCTGCTTGTATTTCAGAGGAGTATGAGGAGCAGTACACAGAGGCCAGGGTCACTGGTCAGACCTTCAGGAACGCCAGCCACCTGCCCCTGGACGCACCCCCTGAGCCCTCTCCCAGGGCCCTGCCCGCCAAGCGCCTGGAGTTCGTGTTTATGGTGAGTCCATCTCTGTACAGAGAGAAACCCAAGGCACTGTGTCTCAGCAGCCTTCCTGCGGCCATGGGCTCGGGGACACAGGGTACCAACTCTGCCTGAGGTCACCCAGAGAGGTTACTGCAGAGCAATAGATGGGGCGGGGAAGGGGGGGTTGTGATTCGGGAGTGAGAGGCATCGGCAGAGCTGATGGTAGGGGAGAGCGACAGGCTGGGGTAGCTGGGGGCTGTGGGTCAGGAGTGAGGGGCACTGGCAAAGCTGGCCCTGAGCTGGGATTGCTGGGGACTGCGGGTCGGGAGTGGCACAGGAGGGAAGGATAATCCTGCCTACAAGGTTTTTGACTCAAGCCATCACTTAGTCCCTCATTCTGAGCACTAGATTCCTCCACACACACACAGTCACTCCTGCTCCCCACATGCCCCCCTTTCTCCCCCACGCTCCCACAATCCCTCCCTTCCCACCTTCCCCACACTTGTTATCACCCCACCAGGACACTGGTGTCTCAATCCATTTCCTTTGTTCCCTGACAGCCCGCGGCCCGGCGAGTGAATGAGGATGAGGCCACCACACTGGGTGTGAGGCCCCCAGAGCCATTCCTGAGCCTGCCCACCACCCCAGACAAGCAGCCGGCCTGGACCCGAGCCTTCCCTCTGCCCACCGTGGAGGAGAAGAGGTGGCACCAATCCTGCTCCACCCAAGCCAACATTGTCCCCATCAATGTCTCTGGTAGGGCTGTGCCCCTTCCAGGCCCCCTGGGAAGCATGTGTAGGAGCATGGGGGGGCAAGGGGTTAAATCTGTCCAGTCAGCTCCCAGCAGCGGCGCTGGGGTTCTGCAGCCTGCACAGGGCGGCTGTGGGCACAGCACTGGCTGGCTTTGAGCCCCGGGCGCTGTGATGCCACCGCCAGGGAAAGTGCAAAGGTCCTGTAAAACCAAAATGCAGCGCTGTGGGGAGGCAGGGCCAGGCACAGGGAGGTGGGGCTGGCCTGCAGCAATGTGAGGAGGCAGGGACAGGCACAGGGAGGCGGGGCTAGGCTGCAGGGATGTGGGGAGGCAGAGCCAGGCCCAGGGAGGCAAGGGTGGCCTGCAGTGATGCTATTGGCCCACATGTGCTGTGGGTTATACAGAGGCCGGGATCATGTTCAGTAGCCAGGCCGAGGAGAGCCCTCAGGGGGCAGTTTGCAGGGCAGCATTTCTGTGCTTTGTTCATGTATTTTACCACCCGTAACATCACCCTTCATTTTTGACCGGCTAGCCACATCATTAAGTTAATCCAGTCTCATCTGCATCATCTAACGAGTATCTCTGAGCTAACCGGTCAGTGTGTTTTGTTGTCACCTTGGTTCTCCCAGTGCTTGGGATCCATCCATCTGTGCAAGGGAACTCATGTGTTCGGCAGGAACACGAGGCTGTAGGGCCCTGGCTGCGGGCAGCAGCTCCGCTCAGTGTGGGGTCTTCAGCAGCACCAAACTACCTGGCTTCTGGAGGAAACTAGCCCCCCCACCCCCCATGCCCTCCTCCCCAGGCACTGCGTGAGCACTCTGCCCCACAGCTGGCTGGGAGGACTCATACCCCTGCACCCTCCCGCTGGCCTCCCTAGCAATGTCCAGGCTGCCATAAGGCCCTGCTGGAGATCAGGCTGGAGCTGCACGAGGCCTGCAAGGAGCCCCAGAGAAGCTTGCTCAGCCCCCTGACTCCTCCCTTCACACCTCATCGGACGCCTGGAGCCAGGCCCTCAGCCCGGCCCAGGGGGCTCTGAGCTGTGTGGTCAGAGCCCCTCTTGTGGGGAGAACCTGCAGAGCATGTCTCTGCCCGTTTGTCACTGGGCTGCCCCTGAGCCCTCCTGCCCAGCACCAGGGTCCCCAAGCTGGGGGGATGGGTCTCAGTGGCTTCCGATACATTGTGTCTCCACCAGCGTGTCTCCGTTGTCTCTGTATTCCCCCTGGCTGGCTTGCCCAGCAGCATGTGTGAGGCCCCCCTGGAGTCATTTACCCATCCATCACGCCATCTCTCTCCAAAGGCCTGCGTTTCGCTGCTAACCAGCCCCTCTCCCTGAGCACCAACTTGCTCCTGGCATCGACCCCTCAGCTGCCTGGCCAGTCACCAGCAGCCCGGGGGTGGGTAGGGGGGAGAAATGCGGCTGCACGCCAGGGGTGACCTGCTTCTCTGGCGCTGCCATTGCTGGCCCTTGGCAGGCACAGCCCCCTCAGGCAGCACTGCCTGGCCATGCCCAAGAGTGACCCTCCCCCACCCATTGGAGCCTGCCCTGGGCCACCAGGGCTGCCTCCCGGAGCAGAGAGCAGGGGCTGGCCTGACCACCTGCCCCCTTTGTCCAGCAGGCAATTATAAAATGGCCATTGGCTTGCCACCTAGGGAGATGGGATGTGGGCGCCTGCCCCAAAGTCCAGTACTCCAAACCGTGGGTGAGGGCCGCTTGCTGACACACACCTGAGCTCGATGCCATAGGGAGCCAGCAGTGCCCTTTCCAGTGGGACGAGGCCTTGGTTTCTAGCCCTGTGGCTTGTGACCTGGTGTCTGCCCTGTCAGCGCCTTTCTGGGGATCTACATACTCCTCTCCCGAGGCCATGCAGTGGGGCCCATGAGAGTCGGGCACTTCCAGATAATGCCCATAAACACTCTCTGGCTGAGTGACAGATCTGCAGAGCGGCTTGTCTGGAGTCCCTGGCGAAAGCAGAGTGGGGGTGGGCAGACAGCATGTGGGTGACCCACAGGACTCCCCTGGAGTATATCACTCATGACCGATGCACACGTCCCAAGCACAGGCCCAAAACGCTATACCCCGTCTCTGCCTCACACTCACACATGTGTAAATACATACATAAGTGACCACACTCCTTGTTCTGTGAGTGTCCCCACCCCTGGCCACATGTGCTGCCCTGCAGCCTGCCTGGCTCCAGGACAGCAGCCCACTGTCTGTGTTGCTGTGCTGGTGCTTGCAGTTTCCTAGTGTGACCCCCCACCATGCCTGGGACCTTCCCAAACACCACTCATGAACCCTGGAACCCCCTCCCTACCCGGGCCTCGCCCCACGGCTGCCTGCGTGCTCCAGCATAGAGCCCTCGTGCTCACGCAGGAACGGGAACAATGCGGGGGAAAGGGCAGAGCCCTTTGTTATAAACCCCAAGAGCCAAATTCACTTTAGTACAACGCAGCCTTAGGCAAGCGAGTTGGGGAGCTAACGCAGGGAGAAGGTGGCCTGAGTAGCTGGGCCAGGGCCGGACCAGGCGTTCTCCATGCCCCCTGCTTGCTGCCATGTACAGTGTGTTTGTTTTGGCTACAGGACAGCTCTTTGATAGGCACGCGAGTGCGCGGCACTCCTTGTTTAACACTGAGACCGCGGTGAACCCCAAATCCACGCTGCGGCGGAGACGGACCATTATCGGATTCCCTAACCTCGCGCTGCGAGACCAAGGTGACAACGACAACTGTACAGCTTCTCTCCCCTGTCCCAGGCTAGAGAGCACTCAGGGACTGCCAGGAACGTGGCTCCTAAGGGCAGGTGTCCCCAGGCCATGCTAGGGGCCATGCAGCCAGAGCCGACTGCAGGCCACCCTCATTTGTAGGCAGGGCCACTCCTGCTGCCTGAGATGTGCTAGCTGAAGGAGCAGCCTGGGGCTCCACACAGAGCCTTGGTTTACCACCCTAGGGAGCTCAGGCCAGGCTGGGCAGCTTAGAGATCTAATCAGCCTTTCCAGCTCTGAGGCTAGGCAGCCAGAACCCCTCTTTCAGGGGCATGTCCTCCATTTTCCTGGCTGCCCCTGTCCAGGAGGGGGATCCCAGGAGCTACAGCCTGACACCCTGAGCTGGGGAGCAGGGCTGGCTGGTCCATCATGAAGGGGCCTGGAACAGGTGCCCGGGGTGGGATTCCTGGCCTTGCTGGTGCCTTGCCATGTGACCGTGGGCCAATCATTTGGGCCCACGTTTTCTGAAGTGCCCACTAGTTCTCAGGGCCCTGGGTGCGGGTGCGCCAGGTGAGTGCCAGAGGCCTGGCTGGAGGGTGCTGAGCACTGGCAGAGGTGGGTGTGCAGCTCCTCTTAGATCTGAGCACTGGGGAGCTCAGGCTGGGGACGGAGTTCAGAGTCTGCTGCCCTGATGGCCCTTGGTTTGCAGCATCGGCTCCCCGCTGGATTTGCTAGTGCAGTTGCTGGGAGTGCTAGGGGAGTTGTTGCCAGGAAGCCAGTGCTTTTGTTCTGGGCTCACACGCGCCTGACAGCTCGTCTGTGAAATGCTCTCTCTTGACAAGCGATTAGGGGTAATTTGGGCTCTGTTCACACTGGCTCTTGGAAGGGAGCGGAAGTAAAATGACAACTAGATCTCTGGTGGCACAAGCAGCTTCTTCCCCGGATTTCAGAGTAGCAGCCGTGTTAGTCTGTATTCGCAAAAAGAAAAGGAGTACTAGTGGCACCTTAGAGACTAACCAATTTATTTGAGCATAAGCTTTTGTGAGCTACAGCTCACTTCATTGGATGCATCCGATGAAGTGAGCTGTAGCTCACGAAAGCTTATGCTCAAATAAATTGGTTAGTCTCTAAGGTGCCACAAGTCCTCCTTGTCTTTCTTCCCCAGAGTCACACTTCACAGCCCTGGGGTCCAGCCTCTTCCACGACTCCAGAACAGGATGTCGGGAGCCACCCAGCAGCGCTGGCTGGTGCTAAGGAGCTGAGGGAACCTCAGGGGGTGTGTCCTGCAGCCTGGGCACAGAGAATTCCCTTTCCCTGCAGCTCAGCCCAGTCCTGGCTCTGCTCACCACCAGGGCTGGTGCTGCTGGCTGGGTTGGAATGGGCAACAGGTAGCAGGGAGGGAGGGTTCCTCTGGGATGGGAGATCGCTCACGGCTGGCCTGTACTCCATCTCAGAGGGGAGAGGCCTCGGCACCGCCCCCCAGAGAGGCCAGAAGGAGCGGCTAGCCGTGCTGTGGGCTGGCCGTTCAGGAGTGAGGAGGGCTCCCCTCTCCTAGGCACGCTGCAAGCCATGGGAAGAGAGGCTCCTTGGGTCTAATGACCTGTCCTGCTCCCCACACCTCTCAGGATAACAACATCACCCCACCCACATTGGGCTTTGTGAGGTCCAGGCCCGGCCCGGGAGGAAGCTGTAGCTGGGATTGGGACCCAGCTTGGAGACAGGAGCCTGGGGAGACAGCAGTCAGACTTCCCCACCCTACAGCCCAGGATGCACTGTGCAGAGCACTGGGTCTGGGGCTGGCACCTGCAATGCCAGTCCCTCTCCATTGTAGGCTGGGGGAAGGTTGCCTCCAGATTTGGGGCACTGCTGTTCCCCACCACCTCCAGCAGTGGCTCTGGGAGTCAGCAGTCAGGCTGGGAGTCAGCAGTCCCCAGCCGTGCATTCTGCTGCAAGGCAAGGGCTGGGCACATGCACTTTGGACCCGCATAGCCAGCTTGTCCGGACTGGAACCCACCGGTCAGATCCTCCCCAGAGGAACCCTCTGTGCAGGCTCCTAAAGCTGGTGCATCCCCAAGGGTCTGCCTGGACCCTGGGTAACAGGGTCATTCCTACAGAAACCCTGGCCTTCCACACTGTCTCCACTGCAGCTGACCGAGCAGGGCCAGGGTCTCTTGCTCCACCATGGGGGCAGGAGGACAGAGTGGGTCCCAGGCTGATTTCTGCGGAGCTGGGGGTGGGGGGATCCTCTGCCCTGACCCCAGCTCATCCATCCCCCAGTCTGCCCTCCCCCACTACTCCCCCACATGAACGCAGGACTGTGCAGAGTTGGGCACTGATGCTGCAGACGGCTGAGCCCAGCTTGGATGATTGGAGAAGGAAATTATTGCATGGAGGGTCCCTTCTGTTCAGGGCGGGCCCAGCTCTCGCTCTGTTCAGAGGCCAGACAGAGCTCAGCACCACGCTGACACCCGGTAGCAGGTCAGAGGCAGGCCAGCTGGGGCTCTGGGCGCAGAGCAGACAGGCGCCCGCTGCGTGTGGTGCGGGTAGGCGTGAGCGTGGTTCCCAGGGCTCTCCGTGGGCAGCGGGGCTCTGGGCGCAGAGCAGACAGGCGCCCGCCGCGTGTGGTGCGGGTAGGCGTGAGCGTGGTTCCCAGGGCTCTCCGTGGGCAGCGGGGCTCTGGGCGTAGAGCAGACAGGCGCCCGCTGCGTGTGGTGCGGGTAGGCGTGAGCGTGGTTCCCAGGGCTCTCCGTGGGCAGCGGGGCTCTGGGCGCAGAGCAGACAGGCGCCCGCCGCGTGTGGTGCGGGTAGGCGTGAGCGTGGTTCCCAGGGCTCTCCGTGGGCAGCGGGGCTCTGGGCGCAGAGCAGACAGGCGCCCGCCGCGTGTGGTGCGGGTAGGCGTGAGCGTGGTTCCCAGGGCTCTCCGTGGGCAGCGGGGCTCTGGGCGCAGAGCAGACAGGTGCCCGCCGCGGGTAGGGTGAGTGGTTCCGGGCTCTCCGTGGGAGGGGGCTCTGGGCGCAGAGCAGACAGGCGCCCGCCGCGTGTGGTGCGGGTAGGCGTGAGCGTGGTTCCCAGGGCTCTCCGTGAGCAGCGGGGCTCTGGGCGCAGAGCAGACAGGCGCCCGCCGCGTGTGGTGCGGGTAGGCGTGAGCGTGGTTCCCAGGGCTCTCCGTGGGCAGCGGGGCTCTGGGCGCAGAGCAGACAGGCGCCCGCCGCGTGTGGTGCGGGTAGGCGTGAGCGTGGTTCCCAGGGCTCTCCGTGGGCAGCGGGGCTCTGGGCGCAGAGCAGGCAGGCGCCCGCCGCGTGTGGTGCGGGTAGGCGTGAGCGTGGTTCCCAGGGCTCTCCGTGGGCAGCGGGGCTCTGGGCGCAGAGCAGACAGGCGCCCGCCGCGTGTGGTGCGGGTAGGCGTGAGCGTGGTTCCCAGGGCTTCCGTGGGAGCGGGGGGGGGGGGGGTGGCCGGGGGGGGCTCTGGGCGAGAGAGACAGGCGCCCGCCGCGTGTGGTGCGGGTAGGCGTGAGCGTGGTTCCCAGGGCTCTCCGTGGGCAGCGGGGCTCTGGGCGCAGAGCAGACAGGCGCCCGCCGCGTGTGGTGCGGGTAGGCGTGAGCGTGGTTCCCAGGGCTCTCCGTGGGCAGCGGGGCTCTGGGCGCAGAGCAGGCAGGCGCCCGCCGCGTGTGGTGCGGGTCGGCGTGAGCGTGGTTCCCAGGGCTCTCCGTGGGCAGCGGATGAGTGCGCAGCTTGGTGGCCCGTCCTGCGGCTAGAGCTCCACTAGCTACTTGCTCAGCGCTGACCTGTTCTTGTGTCTGTCCTTCCAGGCAGCAGCAACGGCCCCACGTTCACGCCCCACGCGCCCACTGGGGAGTCAGTGTCCTGCAGCTTTGTCCCCGAGGCTGCAAGTGGGAAGAGCGCGCCCCGGCATCCCTGCACCCCGCAGCCGCCGGCAGTGCCACTGAGAAAGACGTTCAGTGACCTTGGGGGAGGCCTGCAGGCGCGCTGCTACCAGCCTCCTGCCAGGATGGAGGGCACAGCTGTGGCCTGCACCAGCCCTGCCTGCAATGGGCCAAAGGACGCCACCTTCTCCCCTCCCTGGAACACAGCTTCCTTCAACTGCCTGAGCCCGGCCGAGGAGGACGCAGCGTATCCCTCGCCCGGCGGCTCCCCGGGGTCTCCAGGCCTGGGCTCGCCCGAGCGCTGCGATGGCGCGGCCTCCTTCTTCATCGCGAAAGACGAGCAGCCAGGAAGCAATGGGCCCTGTGTGTTCCCCTGCACTGCTCCAGAGTCCCCACTGAACGCTGCCAGCAGCGAGACACCTGAGGGGAGAGAGGCCAAGGTGACCTTCCTGGACAGTGGCGCAGAGGGGGCTGCGCCCTCCCGGCTGGAGCTGGGGGGCAGGGCCTGCCCGTTCCGCGAGAGGTCGCTGTCTGTGCCCACAGACTCGGGCTCGCTCTGTTCTGTGGACATCACCTACCCTGAGAACAGGAGAGGCAGCGGGACCTACGCCCTGAGCTACCCCAGTGCCAGCTCCGAGGGCAGCACCAGCACGGACAACATCTCCCTGGGGGTGGAGCAGGATGCCCAGCGGAGGCGCCGCTCCAAGAGCATCTCTCTCAAGAAGGCGAAGAAGAAGCCGTCTCCCCCCATGCGCAGCGTCTCACTGATTAAAGACGGGCAGGGGCTCAGCACAGAGCCTGGCACAGCGCTGCCGAAGGAGCTGCGGCCCAAGAGCCTTTGTCTCCCCTTGGATCCTCAGGGCTGTGCTGTGGTGCCCATGGACACCCAGGGTAACACAGCAGTGCCTCCTGCCAGGGACCTGGACGGCGGACGTTTTTCCCAGGACTGGTGCCTTGCGGACTGGAAAGCCAGCGATCCCTACCGGTCCCTGTCCGGTTCCAGTACTGCCACAGGTACCACTGTGATCGAATGCACAAAGGCCCAGGGCAGCTCTGAGTCCCTCCCATCCCCCTCCATTTCCAGGGCCACCACGCCCTCCCAGCTCTCCGCGGAAGTGGAGCTAAAGAGCTCCTCCCCAGGGCGGCCCGTGAGGCTGATGTCCCCCTCCAGTGGCTACTCCAGCCAGTCGGAGACCCCAACGCCCACCATCCCCACCTCGGCAATTCTCGGGCATTCCCCCCACCAGACTGTCAAGGTGAGGCCACTGGTGCCCGAAAGGAAGTCCTCCCTGCCCCCCCCATCACCGATGGAAAAAAGCCCCAAATCCCGGCTCTCCTTCGACCTGCCCATCACACCTCTGACACACCTGGACCTTTCTGGGCTGAAGATCTCACTCAAGGGGAAGACCAAGGTGAGCAGGCATCATTCGGACTCCACCTTCGGGACCAAGCTCGGCCCGAAGACGAGCCCGATCCAGCCCATCATGCCCGTGGTCACCCAGTCGGACCTGAGGTCCGTTCGCCTGCGCTCCGTCAGCAGGTCCGAGCCCGAGGATGACCTGGACAGCCCAGACCGCGCCGAGGAGCATGAGGGTGATGCCATACCACTTCCAGGAAGGAAAGCAAAACCGCCCGTGGCAGAGAAGCCACCGCTGGCCAAATGGCCCCCAAACATCATGGCCAAGCCCCCACCTCTGCAGGAGGAGTCTACCCTGGCATCTCCCACCTCCCCGCCCACGCTGCAGGGCACCTCTGCCCAGGAAAGGGGGCTGCAGGACATCTACATGGTCATTCGGAAACCCAAGCCTAAGAGGAGCCCAGAGGCCAGGAGCCCTGGAGAGCTCCCCTCTCCGCTGGCGCCCTCCCAGGGCTGCCCAGGGATCTTTTTCTCAGGACTGCGGCGACTGTCCCAGAGCAGCCTGGAGGAGGAGCCCAGGGCCCAGCCAGACAGGAGTGGCGCCCCCCGTGGACCCGAGGGGGAGAAGAGGAAAGCCAAAGTCCCGCCCCCCGTCCCCAAGAAGCCTAGCGTGCTGTACCTGCCGCTCACCCCTCCTCCACCCCACCTGGGAGCCTGCCTGGGGGATCCCAGGCTAACGCCCAGCCCCATCATCACCTTGCATGAGGACACCAGCTGCTGTGACCCAGACGCGGACTACCTGCCATCAACCGAGGCCATGGGGAAGAACTCGAGCCCCCCAGCTGCTGCCATGCCTGGGCAGAGTCCTGCAGGTCAGTGTCACAGCTTCTCTACCCCCCCGGCACCCTGGGCATGCCTTGGGAATCACTGCCATGTGCAGCTCGCCGGGGCGTCTGAGTGGCTCACTGCACACCTGGGTGCACAGCCTTGGCCACACAGCTCCTTGCGGCGTGGCCAGACCCCTCCCCCCCCCAAGAAACCATGCCGACAGCGTCGGTGTTAGACCTCAGAGCTCTACCCACACCGCTGCCCAGGGATCGTCCCACCCAGCCCTGAAAAGCAGTTAACTCTGGGGCAGAGCGTGGCAGCTGCTGATCAGCCCAGAGATGTAAAAGACCTGGTAGAGAGTGGAATGTGTCTGCAAGGGAAGTGGACTGCCCCGAAGGGCAGGGTGGGGTAAGCACCGGCTGGCAGGTAGGAGCTGACTAGTCTAGCCCTGGTCCTGGCACTGGCTTGCTGGGCTCCTGTCAGCAGGTCTCTCCTGGCCTGCCCACCCCAGGGGCACTGGCAGGCTCCATTGGCTGAGGAGGGGAAGGGGGTATTATTAGTTAACGCATCCATTGCAATGGTGCCAACAGGCCCTGCTGTGCTAGACGCTGTACGGACACAGCATCGCAGACAGTTCTCACGGACCAATAGCCAGCGCAGACTTGGGGAATGGGCAGAACACCCCAGCAAAGCGACCAATGGCAAGGCAGCAAGTGGGGGGGCACTTAAGAGGGGTGCAGCTACTTGGGAGGGAGGGGGAAGGTAAGGGGGCGGATGTGGAGTGAGGCTGCGGGAGAGAAGGGGGGTTGGACAAACAGCCGGTGAGCACAGGGGAGAGAACGTCCAGCCGTGCTGCAGCGAGTTCTGCGCACGTGAGGAGCCCTGGCTTTGGCTGCAGCTGCTGCAACTGGCTCTTCTCTGCTGCATTTCCCCACAGCCCATAGGAGGTGGGGTGCATTCCCCAGAGCCGGTATAAAAGTGGGAAGTGCTCAACAGAGCTGGCAGGCGGCTACCCATGCCAGGACGTGGCCAGGGCACCCTGGGACGCCCAGCCGGAGACCCCATGGCCAGCAGCCAGAGCTGCCTGTGCGAGGACTGCAGGATCGTTGTCTGAGTCTCATTGTAGCCCAGGTGTCTCCCGGGTGGTGCGTGCGTGCAGGAAGGGGAGCTGTGCGCTTGTGCCGTCTGGTCAGTCGCAGCGCCCGGGAAGGCGGGCAGGACAGGTGCTGCTGGTACTAACTCTGGGATTCTGCTCCTGTTGAGCCACAGGAATGTGCAGAGCCAGGTTACCTAGGGGTGCCCCAGTCCAGGCACACACATGGATACAGATATCCTCAGCTTGTTCCAACGGGCTGATCCCACACATCTCCTGGGAAAGGCCCCCGCCATGCTGGGAACATTTCCCTCCATCCTGCTCTCAGCAAGCCCAGCTCATGGCTGTTCTTCCCTCTGTCTAGGGGATTCCGTGGAGCTCAGCGCTGATGAGAGGAGTTTTGTAAGTGACAAAACAGCCGAGTCGATCGTGGAAGAGGATGATGATGTATTTGTGACAACCCGTACGACAGAGGATCTATTTACCGTCATCCACAGGTACCAGCCCATGTTGTGAACGGAAAACTCACACCCCCATCGCGTTTACCCACTGTTGGCCTCTGGGAGTCTCCGGCCCAGCAGGCAGTTATTGGGGGCTGGTCTCCGCAGAGCTGAGGACTGAGCAGGCCATGGGGCTAAACTCATCTGGGTGAGGCCAGTCCCAGCTCTGAGGATAAACAAGGCCCCACTGTCTCCAGGGCTACCGGCTTGGCTCCCACCCCACGCACTGAGTGCCCTGAGCAGACCAGGGCAAGAGAGATGACCATGGCATGGCACCCCGGTTCCAGTTGTGTGTCTCAGGGCACTCGGGGCCTTCTGCTGCAAGCCCCGACCACTCTGGTGGTGCTGGGCCCATTGCTCACCGAGAGGCCGGCTCTAAAATCTGGACAGATTTCTCTCCAGGACGCCGGCCGGTGCTGCGGCTCCACAGAGAGCCCTGGGCAGCCAGCTGCCTTTATTTCAGAGCTTGTGTTCCTGGCCTGCTGTCAGCACAGGGCTGGACGCAGAACCCGAGTCTCACCCTGTGCCCCCAGCAGCCCTTTGTGCCTGGGACTGGCCCAGCCGCAGAGCTGACCCTGGGAAGTGCACCAGACAGGGCCTCCCGTCTGTGCTGGCTGGGGCAGCAGCCCTTTAGCCAGGCCCCTTTCAATTCTGCCAGGGAGCCAGGGCTTGTCACAGGAGCTGGACAGCTCTGTGCTGGCGGGAGTGGGGGGCACCACTGGACTGGGGAGTCTATAGCTCCTCACTGGTCATCGCCACCTGCTGGCTGCTCTGTGGCTTCTCGGAAGGGAAGTGGGTGGATTCAATGCAGTTCCCACTATCCACAGCGCATCCCCCCATCACCAAGTGGCACCAGTTGTCCCCCTTGCTGGCCAAACACTGGATGTGCCAAGTGCCCTGGAGGCTGAACTCCCCTCCCCTCCTGGTCTGGGCACTGGGACGAGCGGGAGGGTGGCACCATGGCAGAATATAGCACTTCCTGCTTCTGCCTCTGCTCTCCTCACTCCAAGGGGAAGAGGGTCAGGGTCCAGAGCTGCCAGGCCAGGACCTCTCACTGGCCTGAGAATCCTTTGCAGGCAGTGTTGGCCCAGATTCTTACCTAAAGCAGCTCCACTGACTTCAGGGGCTGGCACCAGGGGTGAATTTGGCCTATTCTCGATGATGTTGTGCAATGGAGCTCAGTGAAGTAACTGGGTTCTGCATCTCTCTGCACTGATTGGCCGTGCTGAATTGGCTGTTTTACGTAAGTTTCCAGTGGATGGAACATTTCCGGGTCGCAGTGAGGGCACGGCCACGTATCTGGGGGTCAGGCGTTCACCACAGTTATGGGTGGGATGCAGCCGCCTGCCTGGGGGTTGTGGGGAATGCCCTTTTGTGAGCGCCTCTGCCTCAGGATCTGGAACACACCGCCACAGCCACGCCAACCACAGGCTTCTTTTGTCTTTAGGTCAAAGAGGAAGCTGCTGGGCTGGAAGGAGCCAGGAGATGCCTTCAGCAGCAGGCAGAATTCTCACTCCCCAGTGAAGAACCCAGCCGGGCACCCGGCCTGCGAGTCCCCCCCAGCAACAGGAGGCCCTGGCAGAGCCTCCAGTCGGAATGAAGACTTCAAGGCCCTGCTACAGAAGAAAGGCAGCAAGGCCAGTCCCGGTACTCGCACCTCCGCGGCAGAGCTTCTTAAGAGCACAAATCCACTGGCTCGGCGGGTCATGATGGAGTTTGCCCCTGAGTTAGACAACCCAAGCGGTGCCAGAACCCAGCCCTGACCACCCCGACTTCATCCTGGCCAGGGAGGGGTGGAGACAGCATTGCTGGGAGTTTTATGCTGGCTCTTCAAAGCCCAGCTCCAGCCGCAGGGGCTGCACTCTACCAGGCTGGTGCTGTGAGGACATCCTGTCCTGCTGGGATTTGTGTAATTTTTTCCTTTCTTTATTGGCAATTTGCAAATCTTTTTTGTGTCTCCCTGGGGACTCCAGCAGATGGAAGGTAAATGTCTTAACTACAGAGCCCGCACCCCTGTGCAGTCGGCTCGTGGCCTCGTTTCCAGTGGAGATACAGTGGAAGGAGACGCCTGTGGAATGGAGAAGGCAGACATCGGTCATCATGAGCAGGGCCATCCTCAGATGACAGTGGGCTTCCTATTCCTTCCTGTATCAGCCCAGCAGCTTCCCAGGGTCTGATGACAAGTGGGGACTTGTCCTCCTGCTCTTTGGGGCTCTGCAAGTGGTCTCCAGTTCAGCCCCAGTTGTAACCCAGTGCCCACGACGAAGCTAGCTTGAAACTGTTCATTCGCTTCAGCGTGTGGTACTTTAAATAGCTTTGATCCTGCGAAATGTTGATGATGTTTTTTCTCTTTCATTTGACCTTGTAATTTTCCTTCCCCGGACAAAGACCCCAGTGCTGAGTTGAGCTGAACAGATGGCAGCAGAGACAGAAGGGCCAGTTAGAATGTAGGTTGCTTTGGAAGAACTGAGATGCTCCAGACGCACTGTTCAACCAAAGTGACCCTCAGTCACTCCCTGGCCAGGTTCTAACGCTCTTCTGAGAGCTTCCACCGGTGCTGTCCACACGATGCCAGCTGCCAGCCCCTGGCGATGCTGCAGGGAGAGAAATGGACCTGTTGTCAGCCAAAAGGAAGGAACATCCAGCACTGACGCTCAGAGAGGGAGCAAGCCAAGGCCAGGCCCAGCCCTGCCGTGAGTGCTGTATGCTCAGCCCAGGGGGAATCTGTCTGGGCACAAGGGGCCACATGCTCTTAGCAGGACCAAGACCTGAAATGGCAAGTGCCTGGGGCAAACTGATCCATGGTGTAGCCTGGCTGTCCTTGGGATTCTGCTCAGGATGACTTTGGCCCAGCCAACCTACGAAAGGAGGTGCCTTTCTGCAAAGGAAACGGGAAGGCTGAAGCAACTTGCTGAAAATCGAAAGGACCAACTTAGCTAGAGGCACTTGGCAAGTCATTGGCAAAGCGGCTTGTGTCTCCTCCGCTGGCTCTGTGTCTGACATAGGATTGAAGGGCATTGTAGGAGGCCATGGACTCAGCCTCACCAGGAATCTTCACAGCCTGGTTCCTCCTGCCCCTGCTGGAGACAGTCTAGAGAGTCTAGGGTCCTACTGAGCACGGAAGGGACCCACGGCATGGCCTTCCCTGCCCAGACACCAAGCATCCCTGGGACCAGCCCCAGGGGTTCTGCCCAAACCATATTGTAGCTGGCCTTGAAGAACAACACCACTCCTCTCCTGTGAGTCAGATACGAGCCGTGTCTCAGGAGGTGCTAGGCATGGGTTATTTTCCTTCATAAGACAAACTCTCTTACCTATCAATCTGATCTGATTGATCAGCTATCTCCCACTGGTCTGCTCTCCTTCCCTCTAGGATATCTGAGGAGTCTGTCACCTTGCTCACTAAACGCACTTTACCTATGCTCTGGTGTGTCCTTCGGACGCAGGCAGGCTGCTGTTCGGTGGAGTTACACCTGGGCTGAGCCAGGCGCCGCATCCCTGCGACACATGAGCATTGTGTGTGCACACAGCTGGGCCATCCTGCGCCATGCACACTTGTCACACACACACAGTGGGTGTCTGCTAATGTTACAAGGATGCACAAATCCCGGGCGAGTCATGTACAGGCTGCCTGACAGCCGCCCAACCCCCCTTGAATGCGGTGACAATCACTGAAGAGCCGAGGCCCCGGCCTGCTTCCATTCCCACACAGGCAGGCAGTGCCCTACACCCATTGGCACTTGCACTGCAAGCCCCCAGGCTGGCTGGCCTGCTCCCTGCTGGACAGCTTTGGGTTGTCTGAGAGGTGCCTTAGCCATAGCTGGATTTCAGACCCCTCCAAGGTGAGGGGTGTTGGGTTGGGGGTTTGCTCTGGCCCCATTCCTGGCTTTCAGACAACAAATTCCCCTCTCCCTGAGCTTCCTCCTGCTGTGCAGACCTGGGTCGGATACAAATGCTTCCAAATCGCAACTGGCTTTCACAAGATTGATTGCTGTGAATGCTTCTGTCAGGGTCCCCCCCCCACAGGCATTGCGCTGTGAGCTCCCTCCCCGCGGTACTCTAGCGGAAGGGAATCAGCAGTGGGTTTGGGGGAATGGCTCGCTTTAAAGCAAAGCTACTGAAATGAGCACCAAGCGCAGTCTTTGCATTGCTGAGTCAGGGCCTGATTCTGCGAGCGCCCTGCGCTCCTGATGACTCAGCCCCTTGCAGAGTCCCACAGGCCTGTATTGATGTTTTATCAAACAAGATGCTTTCCCCAGTCTGCATTCCCTTCACTCCCTGTCAGTCCCAAGAGCTGCTGCCGCAGGAACACGCTGATCAAAGACACCCAGCCTGTTCACTTAATATTTTTAACATAATAGTAAAAGTGGGGGGAAACAACCTGCCAGTGCCACGATCAAAGGTGCAGCTGTCTGCTTCCCATCAGCCCCCCGCCAGGCTCTGGCATGCTCCTTGTCTGAAGCACACAGCAGGAGGTGGGGGTGACGGCAGCATGGAAGGAGCCAGCAGCACATTCATCTGAGGGCAGCCCCCAGTCTTCAGCATGCCCCTGGAACTAGCTGGTGGGTCTGATTCCCTACGCAGCAGCTGGGGGGATCCAGGCCCTGGGGAGACGCCCGGAAGGAGTGGGCAGCAATGGATGATCATGTCCCTGTTCTGGTTATATAGCACTCACTATGCATGATGCTTTGCAGAGAGGCAGAGACAGTGGACACGTGTGTGAGGCTACGGGAATGCAGAGAGAACTCCCTGCTGACAGGCCAGGATGATGCCACACCACCGAGAAAGAGCTTCTGGTAGCCAGGGGTCATCGCAAGCAGTGAATTATTCTGGCTTCATCTAGTGGCAAAAGGAAGGAAAAGCAGACATCATTGGCAATCCATGAGTAGTTAGGAAAGGCCCAGAGACTGAGCCCTCTAGAGACCAGAGCTGGGTCTGCCCCTGAACTACACATCACAGCTAATCCAAGTAATAACTAAAAACAAGCCAGGTGAAAGTAGTGGGAGCCAGGACTCTGCTGAGGTCCACGCGCTATGCTGTGACTGCGCGCAGGACCGGACTTGTGAGGAATGAGAAATCAGTGGGGCAACGCAATCAGAGCTGACCTGCTGTGGTAGGGTTATTTATTCTGGTGCAGCACAACTCTGCATGGTAATTTTGAGGATGCTGTTTGTGTAAGCAGAGCTGTCACACGGGGGGCGGTTGTTGGTAGACATTTGGCAATGGCCAGGCACTCGGGAAATGCTTCACGGATACAATGTCCCAGGGATTGTAGCACCAAGGTTTATTCACCCTGCAAATGGTGTGATTCCTGAGTCGCCTGCCTAAATAGTTTCAGTCATCCAATCAGAGAGCAAAAACACTGCCATGTGACTTCGGTGGTGTGTCTCACAAACGAGGTCAAGCCACATCAGGTAGCCTGGGAGTGGTCTCCGGTTTGGGCATTGTCACAAGCAACAAACCAGCCCCGAGAATAGGGCTCAGGGCTCACAAACCAGAGAGCCAGTTCCAGGGATCCCCACGCTCGGCCAGCTCAGCCCAGCAGCAGCATTTCAGGGGCGCTTGTGCAAACCCATTGTTGGTTCCATTCCCACAAGGATTGCCATGCGCTCACCTTGTGCTGTCCCTGCACCGCGGCCCTGGAGGGGACGGAATCACAGCAGTAACCTTCATGTCTATGTTGTGTGCAATGTCCGTGCCTGGCACCTTCCCACTAGCAGCCCCAGCAACATGGGGGAGACCATCTGATTGTCCTAACAGGCGCATTACAGTTGTGCTAATGGGACGGGAAGTACTTCGGGCTTTGACCATATCCGGGCTTTTCTTTGGAATCTCTCCTTCCATTGTTAAGAATTAAACCCCCCAAACCTAGCCACGTTAGCCAATTGTACTGTAAACCCTCAAATCTACTGCCAGGAGCTCCCCACAGCCTGGCCGCAGGCACGTCAGAAGGTGTTAGTGACCAAGTTAGTGTCTACGCGCAGCCGCAGTGTCAAGTAGGGGCCAGGCACCAAAGCCTGGCCTAGGGTTCAGATGGCAGTGTACTCAAAATAGCTGGCCCCTCCTGCCAGGCCCGATGCCATGGCTACACTGCTATTTTTAGCGTGCCTGCTCAATTCCAGCTAGCGCAGGTCTGGCTGCCTGAGCTAGAAATTCCCTCTCCAGCTCCAGTGTAGATATACCCACAGAGACACCATCCACGATCCACACACAGAACAGTGTGGGCCAACAGCGGGTGGGGCAAGGCGGGCAGATATTCACACTACAAACAGCCCCATTCAGAGTCCAGCATTCACCAAGGGGAAAAACTAGAGAGTGGCCCAAAAGCAAAGTCCTGATCCCCCAGGCCCAGAGCCCTGGGGCTTGCCCTGGCCTCTCAGGCCCTGCTCTAGACAAAATATAGACAGTGTTTGAAAGCGAGTCTCACAACCACAGCATGAACAACTGGCTTGACCAGGGGGCTCCCAACCCCTGCCAGCCAGTCTGGTAGCAGCAGGTCTTGCCTTGCTCATTTACCCATCCCAGTTTGCAGGGTCTCCACTGAAATCCAGGGGTTCTCTATCTAAACGTTTTCTTGCTTGACTTCATGGCCAGACCTCATTTGGCTCAGAGCTTGCATCACACACGGTCCCTGGAAGACAGGACATTTTGGTCGGAAGGCCCCCGGGTGTGAGGCACCAATAAGAACTTTGCATGTCCCATACACGCCTACCAGATCCCTAATGATCAAACCGTGGCTTGAGGGATACAGGGCAATTAGTAGTTGCTGGCTGATGACTAATGGGTGGACAAGAACTTGACATTTAATGGAGGATTTTTGAGAAAAAAAAAAACCCTGGACTTTTCTTCCTTCTGTATTTGTCTAAATACCAATGTGCTGGTGTGTGTGACCCTTTGCACATGGCGAACGGAACTCATCGCAGCAAGTGAGCACACCCCCAGCAGCTCCCCCCCCCCACCCCCCATCCAGGACTGGCTGAGACAAAACAGGCATGGGATATCCTGGAGTGATGCCCTGCCATGAGTGGCCTTCCCTTTGGAATCTGGTACAAGGAGGACCCTGCAGCAGACCATGGTGAACGACAGTGACTCAAGGTCCTGATCCTGTCACGCTGATTCCAGCAGGAGCACTGGCGCTTAGCACCGGAGCTGGCTGAATAATGCAAAGAGCTGCGATATTTTCACAGGTGGAAGCGCTGGGGTTTGTGGGGCCGTTATTGCCCGCTGGTGAAGATTTGGATGCCAGTGGGGTATGCGGGAAGACACTCACCAGTCCTGGTGGCACCATGCATTTTGGCACAGGTGGGGGTTTGTCTGGATAGTAACACAGGTGAAGGTCACGTTAGGTGGTGGGTGTTGTTCTTCTGTTTTAAAAGTTTCAGGTATCCAGTCAGAGTTGAAATGATACCGTGTGACTTCAATGATCAGTCACACCCCATGAATGACAGCAAGTGGCTAGTCACAGTAAAAGAGCTCACAACCCAGTTGGAAATCTTTGGTCCGAACTAATCAGCAAATCTTTGTGAAGGCCAGAAACCCAGGAACTGCTTCTGAACCAGAAAAAGGGCTAAATTCACAATGAATCATTCGACCTGCTTCCCTCGGCACCCCCAGGATCTGTTCAGAATTGTGCCCTTTCCATGAGTTCTCAGGCTATTCACCTATCAGACAGGCCAGGGGATAGCAGATGTTTCCATCTGCACAGCATGCATCACGGGGAGGGCCCTGTGAAGTGGACGCTCCACGGACACTCTGCAGCGAGCGTGGGCGTTAGCTTTATGGCAGCCCTCAGACCCTGAACACCTGTGGGTTGTAACATGAAGCTAAAAGCCCACTCTGCTGGGAGATTTAATGCCGAAGAGTTTCCTGGCTTACCGGTCACCGTTTGCTACCTCTCCTTGCTGTACTTGACCATGCAAGGTGCTGCTGGTGTCACCGGCACAGCAGCTGCCCTGGACTGAGCTCTCATGATGTGGTGTGTCTCAGGAAAAGCAACCAAGCTGGTGTCACAGGCTCCTGTGTTGAATGAACTGTCCCTCCCTGACACGGGGTGTGGTATGTGATTGACACAATGGGCCTGTTTCTGTTCTCTCTTTAATGGATTGCACCCAGCTGACTGTGCTGGTCTGGGCGGGATCACCCAGGTGTCCGTGTGAGGAGAATCAGGCCCTTGTGGCTGTGTCAGGAAAACAGGCTCCAAACCCAGTGCAGGGGAGCTGGGGTTGTGCCCATTCAGCAGGGAGGAAGTGGGGGAGTCAGGCTGTGAAAATGGCAGGGCCATGTGTCCTTAGTGCCAGGTGGGTTCCTGCAGCGTGGGAAGATGCCACGTGACCCAGGGGAGGGGCTATGATCAGGCTCAGGTTTCACTGCCACTCTCAGGTGAATAGGCTGCTGAATCCAGCACTGGCAAGAGCTCTGAGCTCCAATCCCCAGCAACAGCCCCACGGCAGCTGACAAGTTCCAGGCCCCTGCGAACTGAGGGGTCCACACAGCATGGTGATGGTGTCCACTCTAGCAGTGCTCCTGGCATGGCCTACACCTGCAGATGGTTCTGAGCCCCAGGGGTGCAGGCGAGGATTGGTGCCTGACCCATCATTCTGGGGAAGGGAATAACCCACGTGAGTGGCTGTATCAGAACCTGAACTGGATTCTGGCTGTTCAGGGGATGGGGAGGAGTAGGGGGGATGCCCGTTCCAGATGAGACCAGACAAAACCTGGGTGTCTTGCATTTGGTGTTGGACAGTTTCCTCCCAACTCTGATTTGACTGAAGCAGCACCAGAGAGTCATCTTTGCGGAACCAGTCTGTAGAGCAAAATTATACTCTTAGACCCAGTCCTAGAACCTCCACTGCTTTCCTAGGAACATAGCACACCCAGAGCGGAGAGCCGGCTCTTCTCCCTCACCAGGGAAGTCCTGCTGGAGAAGCACCAGGCTCTTTTGTGTTTACTCCTTGCTCTGCCTTTATCCCAGCAGAAGCATTACTGGCCCATTTTTACCAAGATGACTTTGTACTTTGCTCTACAGGAGGCTCAGCTCTTCACGCTGCCAGTTCTGGTCTCTTTAATTACAGGTTACTCCTTCCGTTGTCATGGATTTGCAGAATTTCAGCCTGTAGTTAACATCCAGGCTGAGAAACTCAGGAAAAATAGATCATAAAAATTTCTAAGCTTCACTGTTGTTTCTTCTGCCTCTGCCACCAATAGTCTTCAGCCTGCTGTCTCCACAGGAAAGACTTCAGATGCCGCTGAGGCTGAAGATTCTCCCGGCTGCACGGTAGTATCTGTCTCCCATCACAGACCCCCTCTCTCTGGAATTCACATCCCACATGTTCCTGGAGATGGATTCAGTGGCCCAGAAGGACCTTCCCATCTCTGTCCCCTATGTATCTGAGACATGGAATGTGACTCACAAAGTTGCTTACGTCACATGAAGTGAGGCGAGCCAATCACTGTGCTCTGTTGAATAAGCGCACCTTCTTCTGGGTTATAAAGTGCCATGTGTGATCACAGCCATGTTGAGAAGACAAGCGAAGAGTCACTACATACACATCAGTCAGCTGGATCTGTCACCATGCTGTGGGCTCCTGCTGTTCACAGGGTTGCTGACTCCACTGCCAAGGAGCTGGTTTATTTACCTGGTCTCATTTGTGTTGACTGGGTCCAAGCAGCATGGGTCGAGGCTTGAAATGTGGCCCAGCCATTGGTCTATGCCTAATATCTCTACCTTGTAAGGAAGGCAAAAGACACAGCACTGGATCTTCCAGTTGGATTTGCCAGATGGCTCCTCCAGGGCAGAGTTTAGAACCTCTGCTCTTCATCTCAATCTCATGCACTGAACTGTGGCATTTTGCAGGATTTTGGCAGCAGATCAGCATCCTGCTGAGGCCCATGTCTGCCCCCAATTAAGGCCCCGATTTTATTTTGGTTTTGCCCAAACAGGATCTCCAAAGTGGTGTCTGGCGTAGGAAGAACAGGTGAGATGGGAACCCCAGATTTCTCTTGGAACTGCTACCCACCTGGGAATGTGCCATAACCCTTCTGCTGCCAGCGTCCCCTCCCTTGGCCAGCGGAACAAATGAAGAACAATTCCTTTGCCCTATTAACATGCTGTTGACCAATTAGAATGTAGTCTGAGGTCATCTGATACTCCTGCTCGGTTCCAGTAGCTGGATTTGTGGCTGCGAAAACCAGCATGACCTGGGTTCCAGTCCTTGAACAACTCAAACAGGTTGTGCAAAGTTGTTATACAATGAGCGTAATAAGATGCCTCAGCATTTCCATAGACATTTATTCCTCAATTGGCTTTAGGCCAGGCAAAAACGTAAGCCTTAGTAGAAGCAACATGTCCTTAGGGAAGTGTTGCATATTGCAGGGTAAAATCTGAATGCTCAGTATACAAATAACATGTTTAGTTGCATAAAGTTAAAGAGAAGCTACTGCTGGAATTTATGGCCAAGAAAAAATGCCAATAACCCTGTACAGTATTGTACACGATTGCTCAGGGAAAAGATGCTACACCCAGCAGTTAGCAATGGCTTTGTATGATGTGACTGAGGTGTGATTTTTAGCACTTGGATTGTAAATGTCCTGCTAGGAAGGGACTTTGCAAAGCGCTTCTAATGAAAATAGCTGCTTCAGGAAAAGAATCTTCCCTTGATTTTCTTCACCATCAAAAACTCACTTTTTTAAAACAAAACAAAACAAAAAAGTTTGAATCTCCGCATCCCGGCCTTAAAAACCCGTGGGTGAAATCCTGGCTCTAGTGAAGTCACTGGGAGGTCTGCCCTAGACTTCAGTGGGGCCAGGGCGTCCCCCCCCCCCCCCCACAATGCTTTAACAGAGAACGCGGCTCTTGTTTTGCCAAGTTCAACGTCTGCACCTAGTTCTGGTTAAACTTGGATTTATGCTGGAAATGGCCTACCTTGATTATCATACACATTGTAAGGAGAGTGGTCAGTTTGGATGAACTATTACCAGCAGGAGAGTGAGTTTGTGTGTGTATGGGGGTGGGGGGTGAGAAAACCTGGATTTGTGCTGGAAATGGCCCACCTTGATTATCATACACATTGTAAAGAGAGGTTTCAGAGGAACAGCCGTGTTAGTCTGTATTCGCAAAAAGAAAAGGAGTACTTGTGGCACCTTAGAGACTAACCAATTTATTTGAGCATAAGCTTTCGTGAGCTACAAGTACTCCTTTTCTTATTGTAAAGAGAGTGGTCACTTTGGATGGGCTATTACCAGCAGGAGAGTGAGTTTGGGGGGGGGGGGTACGGGGGGGCGGAGGGTGAGAAAACCTGGATTTGTGCTGGAAATGGCCCAACTTGATTATCATACACATTGTAAGGAGAGTGATCACTTTAGATAAGCTATTACCAGCAGGAGAGTGGGGTGGGAGGAGGTATTGTTTCATGGTCTCTGTGTATATAATGTCTTCTGCAGTTTCCACAGTATGCATCCGATGAAGTGAGCTGTAGCTCACGAAAGCTTATGATCAAATAAATTGGTTAGTCTCTAAGGTGCCACAAGTCCTCCTTTTTAGGAAAGTGTCACTTTGCAGATCTGGAGCGCTGCAGGGAATTAATTGGATTGCTAGGGATGGGTTTCCTCATATGTCCCCCAATTGAACTTAGACAAAGTTATCGGACTGGTTCTGTGCAGCAAAGATGGAAGTAAGCCCTATAGATATATAGGGCTTGTTTGTCCTAAGTGGGCCAGCCATGGGCAAGATGAAAGAATGTGAACTATTTTTGTGTGTTATGCAAACAGTTCCCCCTCCCCCGGCGTAAGTGGCCTCTTTTGCAATGTCAGCCCAATCCCTGCCCGTGGACAGCCCTCGGAGATGGCGAAAGTCACATTTTTATATTTCTGAATGTTGTACTTTTTAACTATTGCAAGCTTGGTAAACTCCAATAACTGTCACATCCACCGGTTGTACGTGTGCTTTTCTTCCCCAGAGCCACTCAGAGCCTTTGCCTGCAAAGGTCCTAGAGTTGAGCTCTGTGAGGGCAGGGTGGAGGGTGGTCAGACATTTTAAACCCAGTGAAAATATTAAAATCCTATTGACTACACAGCTCCTATCCCAGCCTTGTCAGGTGCACCTGTGTGAAGTTTAAACTGTGCCAGGGCTCTGGGTGGAATAGCAGTTATAGTGTCCAGCCATAGACCTCATAGAGGTTTCCAAAGCTGGTATCATTAGCTCCATTTTACAGATGGAGAAACTGAGATCCAGCGAGGTGAAGCAGCTTGGCCAAGACCACTTAGTGTATGTCTGCACAGCCAGATAAGCCCAGCTCTGAGCCTGGGCTCAAGGCAAACCCCTCCTTGCATCCACCCTGCAATTGTGCTAACCTAGGCCTCAGACCCAGGTCCCTGCAGGGCTGGAGGGTCTGAGGCTGAGTTAAGCTGGGACCTAGTGCTTTCCTGTGTGCACAGCCTGGCTTGACTCAGGTCCCGGGAGTCCTCCGGATCTATCCCACAGCTCCTGGGGGCAGTGTGCACTGCAGGCTTCCAGCCCAGAGTTTGCCTGCTCTCCCGTCCTGTTCCAGCTCGCTGCTGCCCAGAGTTTGCCTGGAGCAGGGATCAAAGTTGCTAAGTGCCAGCCCCAAAGCTTCCTTGCAGGCTCCTGGGGTGCAGTGGGGGCAGGGATAAGGGAGCAGGGGGAGGTGCTGGAGCACACTGCACCCCAATCCCTGGGGATGCAGTTCGCCACTCTGCAGTGGCAACAGCCAGGCTGGGTGTGTGTTTAAGGGACGGGGGATCTTTGGGAGGAGAGCAGTGATCCCCCCAGCTGGGTCATGTGGGCTGGGACCACACATCTTGGGCGGAGTGGAGCAGGGAAGGAAGTAGCTAGTTCTGGGGTTCCCAGGGGAGAGTGCCTAGCACTGAAGACCTTGATTATTAGGCAGACCCATGGGTCACCATGTTGCTGCTTCGGGAGACTTGTCAGTAAAGCGGGTGTCAGAAGGCTCCAGCGGCTGCACACTGGGGGCTGCTTCTGCACCCAGGACATTAGCCAGGTGTGGTGTCTCTGATGCCGTGTACGTCCCACCTGGGGCGTTCCTCTGCAGGGGGCGTGAGCTGTGGTTGGCACATGCACACTCAGAGCATCCAGGGTTTCAGTGCAGACGGATAAGCTTGAGCCATTTTGCAAAACCATTGTGCCCCCCTCCACCCTGCTCACAGCCATACATTGTTTTTCCATCATGTCATTCTGACTTCCGCTACATAGCACTCAAGATCACTCCTCCCCACGCCCGCAGCACTGCCCTCCTGCCAAAATGAGCCATCTTCTCTCCCCCTCCCCAGCACATAACACCATTTACGTCAATGGCATTTGGTAGGAATAGTGGCCCAGCTGGCCCATGAACACAGACAGTAGAGTTTTCCCACAGTGCACCACGTTCCTAGGCCTAGAGTGTCAATGGGGGGAGCATTAGGCATGCTGGGATACAGTTTGCTCTGGATATGTGCACTGCAGTGTGGCTGCCAGCACCCTAGGCTCAAGCATGGGTCAGGAAATTCTTAATCTAGGGTTAAAAGCCAGTGTAGTCACTCCAGCCCAGGATTCCCTGACGTGGGTCAGCTGACCCAAGTCCCACTAACCCTAGGCTTACATTGCTGTGTAGACACAGCCTTAGTGAGTCAGTAGCCAAGTTAGGCGTTCTGCATGCACCTGATACATCATAGGAGTCCAATCTGATTACATATCATTTATGGCCCACACAGGATAGGTCCTGGGCATGCTGGTATGGCCTGGGCAGGACAGAGCTATGTCTGTGGAGGCCAGGCCTGCTGGGTTAGGAACCCACCCTAGGCCTGGGGGGAGCAGCACAGGTGGGAGAGACTTCCATCACCTCTGATTGGCAAGAGCAGCCCCCAAGTGCACTGAACTGGCTGCCTCCTGGGAGACCCAGAGTAAGCAGTGACCCTGTGCCAGATTTCCGCCCCCCGCCCCAAGCTCACAGCGGTTAGCCACATCCTGCCAGCAGCATGCTGGGGCTCCAGGGGCAGGGAGTATGAACCACCCTGCTTCTAGGGCAGTGGTGCCCAAACTTTTCCTGTCCCGCCAGTAATGGAATCTGTCCACAAACCACCCCTGACCCCCACATTACTGCACAGTTGGCTCAGCAGAGGAGCTGGGGCTGAAGGCGGAGCTGGGGGCTGAACTGGGGATGGGGGCGGAGCTGGCTTGGGGGTGGAGAGGGAATGAAGGCAGAGCTGAGCTCAGGGTGGAGTGGAAGGGCTCTTCTTCCCTGCCTTTTGTGGGGGCTGGCCCAGGCCCAGCTGTGTGCCCCCAAATGTCTCTCTGCGTCGTCCCCCACCTTGGGGGACGCACACTGTTCTCGGCAGTGTGGCTGAAGAGGCTGGTGTGTGCAAATACACGCTGCCCTCTGCTGGACAGAATCAGACCTGCTCAGCTATGACTGGGAGCCGGAGATGAAGCTACTGACGCCTATGGAGATGCTCTTGGAAGTCCCGACCCCATTTAAGCCAGTGGGCGTTTTTCCATTGACCTCACTGGGCCAGGAATTGCCCTTCCTTGCTCGCCAGTGAACATACTGGCATTTGGCAACCCAGGGCCCTTCTCATGTGATGCTCCGGATAGCAGGTATACTGGGGGGGACACAGGGGGACGGGACTTGTTGCCTAATTAATCACTGGGCTGGCATTCCCCTAGCAGGCACAGCCATAAGGGGCATCCAGACCAGAGAGTTCACTGGCAGCTGGAAACATCTGCTGGGAGGAGATGCAGAGACTCTGCAGATGGCAACTAAAAGGCAAGGGGCAGGAGCAGAGAGGCAAAGTGCCAGAATCAGCAGCACCTTTCCCAGGAATGACCCAACAGCAAGGGAATCGTAAAGACCCATTGAATCTGAGCCTGGGAATTGGGGTGAACTGAGGGCAGGACCCTGCTGTCTCTGAAAGCAGCCCCTCTAGTCTCCCACAGTGAGAGCAGAGCTGGGAGCAGCAGCCACTCTGGCCCATCAGCATCTGGTCAAGGACAGTGGGAACGTCTCAGAGACTCAGCCAGGCAAAACTGGGAGATAGGCTGACCTCAGCCCTGCCGGTGAGGTGATCAAGCTCTTTAAGAGGTGCTGCTGGGATGGGAGAGAAGAGGAGAGGGGATCATGAGGGGCAGCTCTCAGAGACAGCAGGGTCCCTTCCTCACACCGATTCAGAGGTTCAGATTTAATCAGTCTTTAGGCTTCCTCTTGTTTGTGTCTTTCCTGGGAAATCGCGAACCAATATATTACTAAAAATGTTTTTTCCCTTCCCCTAATACGTGTTCTCCTACTCTGTACAGATAGATCAGCCTAGAGCTGCCTTTTCACTGCACAGGGTCATAGCTGGGAATGCAGCTTTTTTTTACAGGCTTTTAAAACTCCAAGAAACAGAAGTACAAACATCTAGCTCAATGCAACGCCAAGGCTGCACAACTCAAAAAATACATACATACATAGAACAATCAGGAAAAGTAAAGGTGGGTTTTTTTCCAGGCAAGAGGAACTCAACCATTTCCTACAGAGGGAGCATTTTATATGATTGGTTAGAATGCTATATATCAGGGGTCGGCACACGAGCCAATTTTTATGGGCACGCTGCTGCCAGCCAGGGTCCCAGCCTACGCCCCCGCTCAGCCCGCTGCCGGCCTGGGTGAACGGAACCCTAGGCCAGCAGCAGGCTGAGCAGGGCCAGCGGCCAGGACCTCCACCGGTCTGGGGTTCTGTCCGCAGGTGTAGTGTATTAAATTTCTCCCCGTAGGAATGTGCTACTTGCAGAGCACCAGGACTGGCAGCCGTAAGTAGTACACTGTAAGTAGCACATTCCTACGGGGAGAAATTTAATATACTACACCACAGTACAAACAGCTGGCCCACTTCCTGCCCCCTGACTGCGCCCTTAATAACCTCTGACCCATCCAACCTCCTCCTCCCCCTGCTCCTTGTCCTCTGACCACCCCCTCCCGGGAACCCCTGCCCGCTGACTGCCCCCCTCAGAACCCTCCACCCATCCAACCCCTCCTGCTTCCTGTCCCCTGTCTGCCCCGACCTCTATCCACTCCCCCAACCCCTGACTGGCCCCCCGGGACTCCCACGCCTATCCAACCACCCCTGTTCCCTGGCACCTTACCGTGCCAGTCAGAGCATCAAGACTAGCAGCTGTAAGTAGTACACCCTAAGTAGCATATTCCTATGGGGAGCAATTTAATACACTACACCTGGCCCTGCTCAGCCTGCTGACCGTCTGGAGTTCTCAAAATATGTTCTCTCACCCCTTATCAAAAATTACACTATAATTAGCCTAAAAACTTTGTATATTACAGTAATCGTTAAAAAATGTATAATGTTAATAAATACATAGGTTTGATGCAACAAAGTAGTTGTACTTATGTGCCTGTGCTTAATTTGTGTTTTCCATGATTTACCTTCTAAAAAAAATCAGGCAGGTCTCGCACCCCCAGAAAGGGCATCTCGCACCCCCAGGGGGTGTGTGCACCCCAGGTTAAGAACCACTGCACTAAACTGATAAGATCTGCATTTTAATTTAATTTTAAATGAAGCTTCTTAAACATTTTAAAAACCTTGTTTACTTTACATACAACACTAGTTTAGTTACATAATATAGACTTATAGAGAGAGACCTTCTAAAAACGTTAAAATATATTACCGGCAGGCGAAACCTTAAATTAGAGTGACTAAATGAAGACTCGGCACACCACGTCTGAAAGGTTGCCGATCCCGGCTATATATGCTCTAAATTAGTCTCCATTAGGTACAATCTGGCTGAGTTAATATTGCTACAGCAACTTTTGTTAGGGCATTTTCCGACCACTGTGCTCCAATTTTCACCCTTTCCACTCGATTAGTGAAGGTTTTTACATGTAATCTTCAGTCTGAAATGCATGTGTAGTTCCCATTTGCAGA